ACTTAAGACTCACCACCCAGAGCCATAAAACACATTTACAGCCCCCAGCTTGGTCCAGCTGAGCTGCTGGGAGGCCTCTTGCTCCTTCCCAGCAGTGTCCTAACCCTCCAGCTCACCACCTCGGGGAGAAGAGATCTTCCTCAGTCCATGCAGAGGAGCTGTTCCAATTTTTAATTGGGTACAGACCTCGTGCTACAGGCACAGCTCAGAGTCCCACATTGAGACCCACAGAGTGGCTCAAGCTGCCTCCCTCCCATTCTAAGTGTCCCCCAAAACTTGAGTGCTGCCTTTCTGATGCTCCTCTCCACCAACAGAGAACCTAGCAAGGTGCTCCTTCCCCCACCCAGCCCTTCTCATCAAAGGCTGAAGCACTAACTTGCTACTTCACCTTTTATTTGCACCACATGCCCAGGTTCATCCCCACTTTGTTTCACCTTTGCAGGTGGGTCAGAGTCCTGCAGCACCATTGCTCACCCATGTTAGGAAATTACCAGATGGCCATGGCAGTATTTGGCTTCCAGGAAAGCTGTGGACAAGCAGGGGACAATATTCCACTGATAACCTCACAAGTCTTGAAACAGCTTAGCTTCACAAAGCCCTAGGTTGTTCCTGCAGAGCTGGTTGCTCCCCCATGTTTATCAAGCTCTGTGTTGCAGTCAGTACCTCCCTTTACAAAGAATAAAACCAGGCAATTTTCCAACCATTCCTCCAACCTGCCCCAATTCCCTCCCAGTCCTGCTTCTGCCTTCCCAAGCACTCTGCTCCCAGCTTGACACCCTCAGAAGCACAGGGGGGGGTTGCTCCCCCTTCCACCCCCTCTGCTGCTAAAGGAAACACCACATTGGACTTGATGTGAGACTAAACCCCTGGACCCTCAAATTAGTTCCACTTCACAGCATGGGATAATCACTGAAATTAGTGTGAGGTGGTTTTTTCTCTTGGGCAGCAGAGGCTGGGCAGGACCCCTTAACTGCTAAGTTTGTCCCAAGGATTAGATACGGATTTTAGGACATCGTTCCCTAAAATCCTTGATTTTTTTTTTGCTACTCAAAAGCATGATTTTGCAAAAGCAAAGATCCCACATGCCCTTGGTGCTCTCAAGATGCTTCAATGACTTAACAGTGAACTCCCATGTACCAGAGCATGAGCTTCCTACAGGCACCCACCCCACAGCATCCAGGGCCCCCCGCTCATCCCCATCTTCTTTAGTGAAGTCATCCCAGCACAAGGCACTTCTACCTTCTCTGAGCTCTCTCTAAATACCTTTAACTATCTTAAAAGCAAATAAACAATGAGAAATATTATCTTAAGTCAGGGAGGCTGTTTACACCAACATACTTGACTTTCCAGGCGCTCATGGGACGAAGCAGCTCAGCAGAGGGACAGTCCCACTGCCACGGTGCTGCAGTCCCCTCTGCTCAACTTTGCTGGCACCTCTGCCCCACTTCAGGATGCAGCCAGACTCCAAGGGTGTCTGAGGCCTCAGCTTCTTCACATTTTACCTGGGAAAAGCCTTTACAGCAGATTTGCTAATAGAAAGTTGAAGGTTCAACCCAGCAGGGGACACCTTGCCCCTTTCTCTCTGCCTCTCTCAGCAGTGAAATCTCTTTGTTTGTACTCACACAACTGCACTTGGTGCAAATCAAACCCAACAGAAAACTTCTTTTGCTTGCTCATTTGTTTGTTTGTCCCCTCCTCTCCTATTCCTTCTCCCTGAACTTCTTTTCCTTCACAAACCAGCAGAAAGCCAAGTCTGTTACAGGTCTGCCTTGGTAGAAAATCTACTCCTCTGCATTACCAGAAAATCTTGCCACGTCTCCTAGCAAAACTAAACAGAGAACTAAAGGAAATCCCAGTGGGATTCTCTGGCTACCTCTAGTGTAACAAGATTGAGATTAAGCTGCTTGTTTCACTTGCTGCATTGCCTGGTTTTAATCCAATTTGTTTTGGGACACATGGAATCGCTGCTTTTCCATCCTCCACAGGAAGCACGCGCAGCCAGAGCCAAGCCAAGTGCTGGCAAGTCCCTCCTTGTGTGCACACACACACACCCCAAGCTGGGCTCACTTCTTTGCTCCCACTTTTTGAGCACTCCCCTTTGGCCACCTGCAACGTTTTGGGTTATATTTGTTGAAATCTTACCTCTGAGTCACTGCAAACCAGGGGCTAAACATGCCGTGGGAGTGAAGCCCCCGTGGTGCAGGGAGCTGGCTGCTTCCTGACTGCAGAGCACTGCAGCCCCATGCTGGATCACTCCAGGGAGAGGGACATATGGAGAACAGCCCTTCCCTGGAAAGCTTCTCCAACTCCAGCTTCCCCTTCCCAACCAGCTGCCCCACGACACTGCACCTTTCATTGTGTTCCTGGCCTCAGGGGTTCTTGTCCAGCTCACACCCCAGCCAGCGCCGTCCCTCAGGCCTGATTCTACAAGAATTCAAACCAGGAAAGGTGAACAGCCTGGAAAAAGAGATTAAAAAATACCTTGTGAAGAGCTGAGAGCAAAACTTGGGCTACAGGAGCCTTTACCTATTGCCTCAGATTTAGTACAGGAGCTGCCAAGGGGCCACCCTGCTCCATGATAACAAAATCTTCCCAGAGACAAAAGGCAGAAATAGCCACATGGTGGCTTCTTGCCTCCAGCCAGAGGAACAGCTCAGCCTCTAAGGACAGCTGCTCTGCATGGCTCAGACACACTGGTGGGTTTTTTTTTCTCCTTCCTTCCATCCCCAGAATCTGCCCTTTTGACTCCAGACAGAGATGAGCAAATATTTAATTAACACGTTTGACCTTTTAATCAGCCCTGGCTGCTGATGGCTTTTCTGCAGGCAATTTAGGGGCTCTTTCCCAGAGCCTGCTGCAAAGCTGTGACTAGGAAAGTGTTACAGGGCTCTTCACACCTCTGAAAAATCATCTTAAACACTGGGTTTGAAAACTGAGAGAACACTCAAGTGCCACCTTCCATGATTATTTTACTAGCATTTAAGTTTGGACCTTTTATTCCTTTAGGGCTGTATGAAGTAGAAAACGAGTCCTACCTAGACAATCAAAAGCCTTTTAATTCCTTTCCCTGAATGTGTTTAAAACTTTTCAAAATTCATGTGGAAGGAAGAAGGGGTTGGAGTTGACTGAGCATAAATGATGCCTCCAAATGGCTGAGAACCAGCTCATGGAGAGCAGCCTGCTCCTCCTGGTTTTAGCTGGTGTTACCAGAGATGTTCTCACCAGGTTACTCCTACTCACTCTTTGTTCCTGATGATTGTCAAAATGCCAAAAAGTCTCATGTCAGTGCATTTCTTTCCAGTTAAAAGGATGTCCCAGGTGAAGGGCCTGAGTCTGCTCAACCTTTTCCTTCTCCCTCACCTGGTCAGAGCAGTGTGGGTCAGCGAGGTCTCATCAGTCACCAGAAGGTTCCCTAATTCCAGGTTGAAGCTCAGTGTGACTTGGAAATACTACAAAGCATGACAAGAAGCCTCACCTCATCTGGAGATGCTTGTTGATGGTTCACAAGATATGCAGGGCACACCCCGGAGATACATTTTTCAAGTACAGCAGCACCAGTTCCATTTGGTAACTATGAACACTTTAATTTTACAGGATATAAAAATAGAGCAACCAAATACTATACAGAAAAATATAAAGTTAAGCAGAGACCTTCTCAATCTCTTTTAAAGAGGTAAGACAAACAGGATCATGCTGTGCAAGCCCCAGACTTCAGAAAATAAAGTTGTTCTGGCACTGTAAGTGGGGGCACACTCAGTCCCAACAGGATGGGTACTGCTTCCCACAGCCAGAGGCAGGGGTATGTTCCCAGCACAGGGGAACATGTAGCTCCCAATGTCCTTGCACGTTTGCTTTTGGTAAACACAAAATGAAACCCACATCCTGTTTTATGATTTGGACTGGAGAGAGATGTCCTCACACCCCTCAGCATTATTTATGGCCCAGGTGCTGGGAGCCCACCTGGCCAGCACAGGTCCCCTGGGCTCTGGTCCCACCTGGTGGGCTCAGGTGCATGCAGAGCAGCAGCACATCTGGACACAAGCACAGCTGGCTGTCAGCTGGCAGCCAGGAGTCAAGGAAGGCAAAGGGTCAGTGAAAGGGAGCTGTGGAGATCCATGAGTTTCCACCAGTTCCTCCAACAAGGGGAGGAACCACCTCCTAAAGAAAAGCAGCCAGCATTCTTCTCCAAGGGACCAGCTGTTCCATTGCTGGCTCTGAGGAAGGACACTGGAATGCAGCAGCCAACAGCACCAGCAGCACCTCCTCCTCACCTCTACATCTCTAGTTTCATTTCCCACAACCAAACTTGTCCAAGTTTGCTTGGTGAAGCAGGGAAGAGAGAAAGGGAACGGGCAGAGAATTAAGCAATCACAGTGCAGGTTCCACACTCATGGAAAAAAAGCCACGAAAGAAAAAGTTCTCTGCAGATTCTTCCAAGCCTGTTCTCTCCATGGTCACAAAACAGGGTCTGTGCTCATAGGGAGGAACTGCCAACTGGTCCTGGACCTTCAAAAGGAACATAATAGCATGTTCTGGACAGCAGTGAACTTGTTTTTGCACCAGTGCCAGCCATGCCAGCCAGATGCCAACAATGCCACCTTTTTGTCACCCAATAATCACAGCAGGACTCCAGGAGAAAGTGCAGTGGGAGTCTGTGGTCATCAACTTCCTCTTCTTTTGTTGATTCATAGAAGAGATTTGCAAGTCCCTGTGCTGTATTCACACTGGAAAAAAAAAAGTGCAGCAATGCTGGCTGGAGACAATCCAAGAATTATTGCTGTGCTCAGGCAGCTCGTGGAGTCTGACTGAAGAAAATTGCCCCAAAGAAGAAAAAGTCTAGAGGAAGAAGAGGATTGCTGTAGGCACCAGCATGTCCCAGTTCCCACCTACTGCCAGGAAGGTGCTGCAGTGGTTCCTGCCTCCTGTGAGCAGCAGCTGCAGGACAGCAGAGGCTGTGGGGGGGGGGGGGGGGGAGATGTGGAAAGGCTCGGTGACCCCTCTCACTGCCACTTGTAGATCTTCACCATCTTCTCAGTCAGTGTGGCCAGAAGGTGGGTTTGGTTCACTTCCAAAGGGCAGATGTCCAGCACGGGCAGGTCAGCCTGAAGCTTCTGCAGCAAGGAGCCACTGCCAGCGTCCCAGAGCTGTGGGACAGACAAGGTCAGAGCCTGCAAGAGTCTCCCCTCCCATCCAAAACAGAGTTTGCTCTCTCTAGAGAAAAGACTTGCTTCAGATTACTTAGAGGACCCTTTGTCTACTTCCACACCCTGCCTGGATGGTCTCTAATAGGCCAGGATGCCACCCTGACTGCCCCCTCCTCTGACCCCAGCTCATTAGCTCTCATGCAGCCTGTTGTCCAAGCTGCTTCTGTATAGAGGACAACCCTTCTCCTGGTTTTCCCTGTTGCTCCCCAAGAGCCTGAATCCATCCCTCACTACATCAGCTACCCCTCCAAGTCCCCATGACACCAGTGTTCCACCTCGGTCACTGGACCCTCATTGTGTCAGTGTCCCCAGCTGCATTCCTCTGGGGAACAGCAGGGGTTCCCTGACTGAGTTCCTCTCCATGGACAAGGACCACAGGCCTTGCCTAACACTGACCCACCTTATCACAACCTGCACAGGGCAACGTGCCTGACAAGACCATTCCCACCAAAACTCCACAGATGCTGTGGCTCTGAGAAATCCTCTCTCCCAAATAAAACCCATACCAGGGCAGAATTAGATGCCTCATCCCCAGCACACACAAAGACACTGCCATCTTCCTCTGGGCTCTGGAAAATGGCATTCTTGGTCAGCAGCTTGCAGGTGGGCCCAGCACTGAAAGTCTGCACGGGGTTAGAAGAACACACCACGTCCTCAGAGGCCTCTGTCAGTGGGCTGCAGGTCAGCTCCATCATCACACAACGCACACAGGGGTTGTTTTTACCTGTGTGACAGAGAGAGAAAGGTGACCTGCTGCTGCTGGACCCAACAATCAGCAGGAGGAAGGGGACCCTCTGTGCTGTTACATACTAGGCCTGTACGTGGCGAGGCAGTGGCGGGTGCTGGTCTCTGTCTGAATATCAATGCATCCTCCAGGTTCCAGGGGCAGGTGATGGGGCCTGTAGGAATTCCCAGCTTTCTGTTCCCAAAAACAGGCTCCTTCCAAGGTCCCAGCTAATATTCCACCATAAGGCAGGGATGCTGAGGCCATCCGGGGCAGGTAGGACAGTGATACCATAGGGCACCTGGAGGGGTGATGGGCAAGAGTCAGTGCTGCCAGCTGCACCAGGAAGGTGTCCTCCCTCCCTGCTCCAGAGCTCCAGCTTCTCCAACCACATTGCAAAGAAAGGGTCTCACCAGGCTACAAAACTGCCCTTCCAACAAGGAAACCCAATGGGGTTTATCAAGATTAAATCAAATTCAACTTCACTACTGGGCCTTGTGTTTTAAAGCAGCACCAGACAGCACAGATCTGATGTTTGCAAAGCAGCAATTGACTCCCTGGGTAGAAGAGATGGAAGTGCCAGTGCCTCACACCTCTTTGCAATTGGTCCTTCCAAATTAAATGTCCTTTCCCAGCCCCAAAGCAAAGCTGGTTCTCCTATTGCTGCACCATTGGGTCCATTTCTGACCTGTGTGCCTTAAAAAGGTGCAGAGGCCAAGCCCTCCTACTAAGTTATACATATACCATGCAACCTTAGGAGAGACTTCTCACATCCCTGCTCAATTTGCATTTTTGAACAAGAGATTAACAAACTAATTTAAACTACAACAATTGCTGCAATTTATGGAAGAAGCCACGTTGAGCTTTAATGAATATTAGCAAAGTTGAGAGAAATCTTTATGCCATACTTGGACTTCTGAGGGACTAGTTCCTGGACGTGGGAGTTGGTGTCTCTCAAGTCATAGATCATGATAGAGCCATTGACCAGCCCAGCATAGATGTAGTTGGTATCATCAAGACACCAGCAGCAGCTCCAGACAGGACGGCCAGTGTTGTATGTCTGCACCACAGTGTTTGTTGCCAAGCTGCAGAAGAAAAACACAAGGGTTGGCCTGTTGCACAAACATCTACTGATGAGAAAAGAGCCTAATTGAGATGAGCAAAGCCAGCTTTTGAAAGTCTCAAGACAGAAACATCTCTCTTTAGACCAAATGCTGAATTACACAGAATATTAGGGGTTAGAAGGGACCTCTGAAGATCATTGAGTGCAATCCCCCTGCCAGAGCAGGAAAACACACACCAGACAAACAACTAGGGCAGGTCACTCAGAAAGGCATCTAGACAGGTCTTGAAAGTCTCCAGAGCAGACTCCACAATGTCTCTGGGCAGCCTGTCCCAGGGCTCTGTCTCCCTCACAGGAAAGAAGTTCTTCCTCATCTTGAGGTGGAACTTCCTGGGCTCCAGTTTGAATCCACTGCCCCTCATCCTGTCCCAGGGCACAAGTGACAAGAGCTTGTCCTGCCTTCTTGCTGCCCTCATGTATTGAGAGGCATTCATTGGATGCCCCCTCAGTCTTCTCCTCTCCAGACTGAACACCCCAGGTCTCTCAGCCTTTCCTCATCAGGCAGGTGTTCCAGTCCCTTCATCATCCTCCAAGCCCCTGTTGGACTCTCTCCAGTAGATCCCTGTCCCTCTGGAACTGGGAGCCCAGAAATGGCCACAACACTCCAAGTGAGGTCTCACCAGGGCTGAGTAGAGGGGGAGATCTAACTACTCCTTCATGCCAGATGTGAATCTGGAAAAATCCAGACAGAATCAGCACTTGGATATTGCCAAGTGATTTATAAATCTTCCAGGGTATTGCTTCCTTTTCCAGATTGATCTTTGGAGACTGGGAAAGGAAGTCTCAAAGCAGGGTCTTAGCTGCCTTACTGGAAAGGGAAAGCCAAGTTCCTTCTCTAGAAACAATTAGAAATGACTCCAGGGTAATTCTGTAATACCACATATTCCTGAGATGACAGGGCTCATCTCTTCAGATTACATCTCTCATTAATTATTTCCCCTCTTTTTCTACATGAGAAGAACTGTGCTTATGCCTCAAATGAAGCCAATGGTGTTAATTCGTTGTAAACTCAATTTCTGGAAGGAAGAAGGGAGCACACAGAGGGGAGCGACCCAGGACAACAGATGAAGTTGGTGTCAGATGAACAGGGTTTTCAACATCTGGTCAACACTTGGAGAACAGTGTCAGGCAGAAGACACCACTTCAGGTGACTCTGGGTATCCTGTACAACACAGGAGTTGCTCACAACTCCAGAGAAGTAAGTGCTCCCAGGTAAGTACAAGGAGAACCACCACAAAGATGGACCTAGCTGGGGAAAACTGACAGAGCTTGACATCAGAACAGTGACTAGTTCAAAACAAAGGGGAACAAACACCCCAAAAAACCCAATCCCAAATCTTTGGTGCCATTTTAAACACTTGCAAACCTGAACAGGAGATCCAAAGGCATCTTGGATAACTCCTTTTGGTAGGATGACTATGAAATCAGTAACTAGAGAAGAAAGATGACCAAAGGAGGACTGTCCTTTAAGAGGGAAACTGAAAGAAGTATGAAGATGCTGCTGAAGAAAGCACTTAAATCCAAGACATTCTGGGATCCAGCACAAAAGCAAGAGGATCACAAGTTCTGATGGATCCAACCAGGCAGAGGGGGGAGTCTGAGCAGACACTGACACAAGGAGCTGCTCTCCAGATCCAACCAGGAAAAGAATCTTAAACTCAGTTAGAAATCCAACATGCTGCCTTTGGCATCACTTTTGTTTACTTTTAACTAGTCTAGCAAACGTTTCAACATGGCAACAGGAAAGCAACATTCTTTACATTGTTTTGGTGGGATTAAGTTCTCCTCATTGCTTCATTCAGGGGAATGAATTGGGACTAATCACTCATGGAACACACGTCCTGCCTAACCCTCCACTGACAGACAGACAGATGGGCATAAAGATGTTGCTGTAACTCTCTAAAATCAATCAGGCAACAGAGTTTGGAATCAGCTTAAGCCTGAAATTATAGAGCAGCACAAAGAAGCCTGAAAATACACCCCTAGGCTGAAAAAATCTACCAGGACCAGGCACATTTTTACTCTCAACTTTTGCATAATGAGTCTCCAATGTGCTGCTTTAAGTCCCTGCTAGCTCAAGAGAACCTGTGTTCCTATAGCATGTGCTCAATATTGCTGTCTATGCATTTCATATCCCAGATGAATTCCATGCTCTGCAAGAAGCTGCAGAAGTCAGAGAAGGAAAAGTTAGCAGAGGAAGGGAAGTGCTCAAGCCAAACACCCCTTGTTTCTGTTTTAGACCATATGAATTTATAGAATCACAGAATCCCAGACTGGTTTGGGTTGGAAAGGACCTTCAAGAGCATCCAGATCCAACCCCCTGCATGGGCAGGGACACCTCCCACCAGCCCAGGTTGCTCCAAGCCCCATCCAACCTGCCCTTCAACACTGCCAGGGATGGGGCAGCCACAGCTTCCCTGGGCAACCTGGGCCAGGGTCTCACCACCCTCACAGCAAAGAATTTCCTCCCCATGTCTCACCTCAATCTCCCTCTTCCAGTTTTAATCCCTTCCCCCTTGTCCTCTCCCTCCCTGTCCTTGTCCCGAGTCCCTCCTCAGCTCTCCTGGAGGCCCCTGCTTCCCTTTCCCTGCAGTAGCTGAAAACCAAGCAGACAGTACATTTCACATCTAGACATGATACTACCTTTGTCCTCAACATAACTTGGCCAACCTGTCCCGAATTACTTCTTTTCCACTGAAATCTTCCATGAGAAAAGCATCACAGGCAGGTACCTCCATAATACCTCCCACATAAAGCAAGGACAAACTTTCCCTCTCTTAGTTCCCACATTCAGGAAGAACATCCCCAGACCTGATCCCGTCTTCACAGCACCTTTTGGAAAGCAAAACAGCAAACACTGCAAGGCATTTTGAGCCAACAAAATCCAATCCAGTCCCTTGCACATAGCAAAACTCCCCTGGGACAGGGTTGCTCTCCCAGCAGGGCTCACCTGGTGAGTTTGAGAGTGCTGTCCAGAGCAGCAGAGAGCAACAAACCATCTGCCCGGCTGCCGAACGCCAGCCCCCGGATCTGCTTGCTGTGGATGGGGATGTACTGGCTGCTCTTCAAGTTGGCCACACTCAGCATCTTCACACCACAACCTGGTACAGGAGGATAAAGGGAGGTTATCGTGGAGCACCATGAAACCTGGACCATGGGACAGAGTGTGACCTCAGCACTTTGACTGATGATCTAAACTGGAAGGGGTGGTGACACTCCAATGTGACCTGGGCAGGCTGGAGAGCTGGGCAGAGATAAACCTCATGAAGTTCAACCAGGGGAAGTGTAGGGTCCTGCACCTGGGGAGGAAGAACCCCAGGCAACAATATAGGTTAGGGTGGAACTGGAAAGCAGTTCTAAGGAGAAGGATCTGGGAGTCCTGGTAGAGAATAAATGATCCATGAGCCAGGAATGGGCCCTTGTGGCCAAGAGGGCCAATGGAATCCTGAGGTGCATAAGGAAGAGTGAGGCCAGGAGGTCAAGGGAGGTCAGTCTGCCCCTCTATTCTGCCCTGGTGAGGCCATATCTGGAGAACTGGGACCAGTTCTGGGCTCCCCAGTTCAAGAGAGACAGGAAACTGCTGGAGAGAGTCCAGGGGAGGGTGACAAAGATGACTGGGGGATTGGAGCATCTCCCTGATGAGGGAAGGCTGGGAGAGCTGGGACTGTTCAGCCTGGAGAGGAGAAGGCTGAGGGGAGACCTTATCAATACCTACAGGTATCTCAGGGTGGGTGCAGGAGGATGGAGCCAGAGTCTGCTCAGTAGTGCCCAGGGACAGGACAAGGGGCAATGGGCACAAGCTGGAACATGGGAAGTGCCACTGAAATAGGAGGAAAAACTTCTTCACAGTGAGGGTGACAGAGCCCTGGGACAGGCTGCCCAGGGAGGTGGTGGAGTCCCCTTCTCTGGAGACATTCCAAACCCCCTTGGATGCAGCCCTGTGGGATGTGCTCTGGGCAATCTTGCTCTAGCAGAGGGTTTGGATTGATGATCTCCAGAGGTCCCCTTCCAACCCTGACAATTCTGTGCCAGAACCACAAGGTCTGCACTGAAGCCCGTGGTGGGAGGAGCAGAGAAAAATGATTTGCTGTTCTGGATGAGAACTGCCACAAATCATTCTTTAGTTAAAACAGCACCAGGGCTAAATCCTTCAGGATCCCAGCCAGCAGGAGCAAACAGGCTATCAGTGTTACAATTCTTGTTACAAGAGCCTGCTGCTCTTTAGCCAGTTTATTCCCAGACATCCTTGCTTAGACAAAAACACACACAACAGGATTACATGGCTTTTAAAGAGAACAAGTGTCACCACAAAGAATGCTAACAGGTGAACTTAACCTGTGTGCTACAAGAGTCCCCACAAAGCCTCCATTCAGAGATTCATTCCCTGAATCCAAAAGCCAGAAAAACAAGGCCAGCTGAATGCAGAAAACAATTCTGTTAGGCCTAGATAAAGCCTATTAATCTCCAAACCATTATCCAAATCAAAGTTGCATCATTCAGAGAGCACTGAAGTACTTGGCAAATTAAACTCTCTCAGACTCCCTAATGCTACATCCATACCATTGGAAAAAAGAACTTGGATCTGGGCCAGACATCAGGTCTCTTGGCCCTGGTCAGTGTGACAAGGCTGCCCACAACCTCACCTCCTGCCTTGCTGTTTCCTCACTGGGAAGCACTGCTCCTCTCATTCATATAAAAAGATTTTTATTTTTTGCTTTCGTTTTTTCTTCCTTTTTTTCTTTTTTCTTTTTTTTTTTTTTTTTAGAATATTGACAAACCAGCTGCATTTGGATCAATGCACCTACAGTTTGGGGAGCTCAGCAGAAGTCACCCATGCAGGGCCAGGATGAATGACAGTCTTATGAGCATTCCCAAAGCACAAGGCACATGCAAAAAGGTCAAGAAAGAGAAGGGGGGAGCAGGGAGCAAGTAGAAAACACATTTAACTTCCAACTCTGAACACCCAAATCTTGACTTGCTTAATTCTGGAGCCCCCAACATAAGGACATGGAGTTATTGGAATGAGTCCAGAGGCCACAGAGGTGATCCAAGGGCTGGAGCAGCTCTGCTCTGGAGACAGGCTGGGAGAGTTAGGGTGTTCAGCCTGGAGAAGAGAAGGCTCCAGGGAGACCTTAGAGCACCTTCCAGTGCCTGAAGGGGCTTCAGGAAAGCTGGGGAGGGACTTGGGACAAGGGCAGGGAGAGGACAAGGGGGAAGGGATTAAAACTGGAAGAGGGAGATTTAGGTTGAACATTGAAGGAAATTCTTTGCTGTGAGGGTGGTGAGAGCCTGGCCCAGGTTGCCCAGGGAAGCTGTGGCTGCCCCATCCCTGGCAGTGTTGAAGGGCAGGTTGGATGGGGCTTGGAGCAACCTGGGCTGGTGGGAGGTGTCCCTGATCTTGAAGGTCCTTTCCCACCCAAAGTCTATGATTCTATGAATTACCAGGAATAAAAGTAGACTGTGGAGAAGGCTGTGATACCACCAGACAGCTCAGGGAGTCACAGAATGCCATCACTCTGCAGTTCCCAGTCTGAGACACCAGAAAAACCTTTTCCAAGTGGTACTTGCGCTGGCTCTGGCTGGAGGGGAGGCTGCTGGGGAGGCAGGAGCGGGAGCTGCCAGGCTGCTGGGAACCACTCCCATTGTGCTGGGCCACCAGGGCCTTCAGCTCCTGCAAAGAAAAAGACCCAAAGAGCTTTAAAATGTCACCAGTGATGTAACCTGCAGTGCTCTCTGTTCCAGCTGCTCCAACTGTCCTTGTTCTTAAATGAAAAGGCAGAATATGCTCCAATTTCCATATTGTTCCAAAATGCTGGGTATCCAAGACCACTGACTATGACAGTGAGCAGGAAAAGCATTTAAAATGCTTTGCAAGTTCTGGCAGAATGAATTCAAGGTCTGTTATTGTACGTATTGGACCCTGTGGGAGAGGGGACTCTTGGGAAGCACATAAAAGCCAGTAACAATTATTACCAGATCAATGCTGTTCAGAAGAGAATCAACTGCCAAGTATTACATGCAGCTAAACCACAAGAGAGAGTCAATTAGAACCATTTTCCAGAATTTCCAGAATACCCCATAAAAAAATAAAAGCCCAAGTTTCACCATAAAGGGCATTGCAGGAAACAAGTCAGTCTATTTAATGAAGATGACCCTGTTCTTGTAAACCCTGGGCAGCAAATTCCAGGAACGACACAACTCTCAACAGCTCCAAATCCCTGTTTCCCACCAGCTCACCCCCCCCTCTTCCCCCCCTCAACTGATGGATGCTCAAGGGTGCTCAGCAGAGACATGGCCAAGGACAGAGCACATCAGGGGTGAGGTGGGTATACCAGGGGCACTGGCACCTTGTGAGTCAGCTAGAAACATCCCCCCCCAAAAGCATGTGTGACCAATCCAGAAGCAAACCCAGATGGCTACAGAACCCCAGGGATATCAGAGAGGTTTTATATATTAAAAAAAAATTGCAGCCTGCTTTCTGCTGTCTGAGCAACAAAGATTATGCTTCAAATACCAGGTAATTTTCAAGAATGAAGGGCCACAAGAGGGATGTTATGAGTAGGTGAGTAGATTGACCCGGCCACTAGCACTTGACTTGTGTCTAAGCAAAGGCAGCAGTTCTCTCTAAGAGAATCAAAGATAAAGATCAAAGACCAAGCTCTTCATGAATCATTATCATCATGACCTGTAACTTCTGGAAGCTGCTCAAGAGGAGAGCAATTCTGGTATTTTACAGAGGTCTGATCTGTTGTGCATCAAGCTCATTGCAAAGTCCCCAAGGGAATAAAAATCAAAGGTGTCCCTGCCCGTGCAGGGGGGTTGGATCTAGATGATCTTTAAGGTCCCTTCCAACCCAAACCAGTCTGGGATTCTGAGATTCTCTGAGAAGCAGGAGAGAACAGTGAATAGGAAAGGAAAACCACCAGCTACAAGGAACTCAGCACAGAACTTTGGAGTTTCAGGTTACAATCTTAATAGCTGATCTGAGGCTTTGAAGACAAAGGCATTCTGGGCTGTCAGGCTGGCTGTGCTCCCACAGACCTCTACCAGGAGCTGTGCCTGCTGCCCTGCACACCACTGCCTGGCAATTAACAGACATCAATATTAATTACACATCCCCCAACTGTGGAGCAGCACTCCAGACATTTCACCTCCCACCCCCCTTTAGCTCTGGTGCAAATTCATAGGGGGAGAGTGTTTTATAGGATATAAGAGCTGAAGGAAACATCAACTTTTTACTTCTAACTCTTCCCCAGACATCAACTGGGAGATGAACAGAGATGAAAGATATTTAGGCAGTAAAAATGTTGTTAGCCTAAAATTTTCCTAAAGGTGTTAGGTTCACAAATTGGTATGGGCAGTTTGCCATCTGCAAAGCTCACAATTCCACTTCTTTCTTCTCCACAGCACCATTCCAGCTCCTGTCACTTCCCTACTCCACACAATCTAAGCAACTGTTTTCCTACTTGAAAAAAAATAAATTGTCTACCCCAGTTGATCAGGGGTGTTAGTGCCAGGAGCCAGAGATGAGTTGCTTATTGACAGCCAATTTCTTGGACCTTCTGGCACATTCAGGAGGAGTAATGCAGTAGCTCTCATCCAATTCCCAAGTTCTTTGTGCTCAGAAAGGGAAATCTTTTGGGAAAAGTGAGGTTTCAGTAGCACTGCTTCCAAAATTCAAGCCTGAGCCTGCCATGCATTGTGCAGCATACAGGCTGACATCCAGAAACAACACTGTGCAGGGCTTTCTTCCAGAGTTTTAGTTAGCTACCTACCTTCCCTCCCCTCAAGTTACTTTCCTTACCTATCTTCATCTAATTGAGACTTTAAAAACCTTCCCCTTTTCTAGCCTCTTAGATACTCCCAAGGGCAACAGACAGGATTGTTAATGGACAAGAGCAGGGGGAAAACTGCAGACAAACCTAAAAAGGTCCTAAGTAGTGACATGACTGCTGATGAAGCAGAGCTCTCCAGCACATTAGCAACAAAAAAGGGTTCACACAATGACTTCCAGGAGAGGAAACCGATGGCATTTGCTTTCTCTGTAAGGCTGGAGACACCAAGGTTTGCATGCAAGCAATCAACATCACAGGTATTCCTGAATAAAATTCTGTGCACCTGAACTTTGCCATCCCAACTGTCCCTCTGAGGGTCCAGACATCCCACACGTTGCTTTTGGAATCCCACAGCACTTTGTTTCCTAAATTGACTTAAGCTTTTGTATGCCAATTAAACATGTCGTCTCTTGTGTTTTCTGAAGTCACCTAACTGAGGCCTCTTCCAACTTAAATACCAATAGTTGCTTTACTAGTTGACCTCTCCTAAGACAAGGACTTTGTTAGGTACATAGTCAGAACATAAGCAGACTTAT